TGGGAACGAGATAAATGTATGAAGATGATAATCATGTGATAACTATTATATGAGAGTACTTTTTACAAAAATTTAATTTAATTTAATTTTACCTCTCAAAATACATTGCACTTGATTTTCATGCCCCTTTACCCATTCCTCTCTGCCCCTTCCCCTCTCCCCCACATCGTATCTGTACACTTGAGTTAAATAGTTCAAGGAATTTTTGTGATTATTCTGTCTTCTTCCCTCCACCCCCACCCTATATTTGTTTGTGTATGTATTTATTTATTAATTTTTAGCTCCCACAAATAAGTAAGAACATGTGGTATTTCTCTTTCTGTGCCTGACTTGTTTCACTTAATGCAATTTTCTCTAAGTCCATCCGTGTTGTTGCGAATGGTAGTATTTTGTTCTTTTTTATAGCAGAGTAGTATTCCGTTGTGCAGATGTACCACAGTTTCCTTATCCACTCATCAGATGATGGACATTTGGGCTGGTTCCAACTCTTGGCTATTGTATATAGTGCTGCAATAAACCCTGGAGTACAGGTATCCCTTTGGCATGATCATTTCCATTCCTCTGGGTATATTCCCAGCAGTGGAATCACTGGGTCATATGGTAGGTCTATCTGTAATTGTTTGAGGAACCTCCATATCATTTTCCATAAAGGCTGCACCATTTTGCAGCCCCACCAGCAGTGTATGAGAGTTCCTTTTTCTCCGAAACCTCTTCAGCACTTATTGTTGTCAGTCTTTTGGATGTTAGCCATCCTAACTAGGGTGAGATGGTATCTCAGTGTGGTTTTAATTTGCATTTCCTGGATGTTGAGTGATGTTGAGCATTTTTTCATGTGTCTGTTGGCCATTCATATATCTTCCTTTGAGAAATGCCTGTTCAGCTCCTTTGCCTATTTTTAAATTGGTTTTTTTGTTGTAAAGTTGTTTGAGTTCCTTGTGTATTCTGGATATTAATCCTTTGTCAGATGTATATTTTGCAGATATTTTCTCCCACTTGGTTGTTTTTTTACTCTGTTGATTGTTTCTTTTGCTGTGCAGAAGCTTTTTAGTTTGATTTAATCCCATTTGTTTATTTTACCTTTAGTTGCCTGTGCTTTTTGGGTCCTATTCATGAATTCTGTACCCACTCCTACTTCCTGGAGTGTTTCTGCTATGTTTTCTTTAAGGAGTTTTATTGTTTCAGGATGTATATTTAATTCTTTAATCCATTTTGAGTTCATTTTGGTATATGGTGATAGATACAGGTCTAGTTTCATTCTCCTACGTATGAGTATCCAGTTTTCCCAGCACCATTTGTTGAAGTGGCAGTCTCTTCCCCAGTATGTAGCTTTGCTGCCTTTGTCAAAGATCAGATGGCTGTAGGTGTGTGGATTGATTTCTGGGTTCTCTATTCTATTCCATTGATCCATGTGTCTATTTTTATGCCAGAACCATGCTGTTTTGGTTATTATAGCTTTGTAGTATGGTTTAAAGTCAGGTAGTGTTATGCCTCCGGGTTTATTATTTTTGCTCAGGATTGCTTTGGCTATGTGTGGTCTTTTGTTGTCCCAGATAAATGTCTGGATAGCTTTTCCATCTCAGAGAAAAATGCCATTGGAATTTTGATGGGGATTGCATTGAATCTGTAGATCACTTCTATATGAGGGAACTTCAGAAAGTTCATGGAAAGATTCACATTAACTTTCAATTCTATTTTTCCATGAACTTTTTGAAGTACCCCCATATTGCCCTGTGCGGTACCTATAAAAGAAAATGATGAAACCTCATCAAAAGGAACAATAAAAGATTTAAGGAAATGGAGGAATCTTCTCCTAGGAAACAATTGAAATATTGTTGAGATATTATCTTCCCCTAAATCATTTTATATGATTAATGCAATGCCAATTAAAATTCCAGTTGTTTCCTTTGTGGAACTTACTAACATGACTCCAACATTCATTACTGAAAGTAAATAGCTAAAAATTAAGAAAATATTTGAAATAGAAGAATAGTAAGGGAATTTGGTTCAACAGATATTATGTTTGAAAAAATACATATAGCGTATATTTAAGAAATGTCTGAGTGAGACAGTGAATTTTAAGTCCTTAATATGGTATGTAATGAATAGCCTAAAATGGAGACCACTATTATTAATATTATTTTTTTCTCATCCTTCGTTTCTCCTCCTCCTTTTTCATTCTCTGCTATACTCTGAGGACAGAGTAGGGAATAAAACATTAAAGCAAATGATGTAAAATCCATCATTGACCCTCAAGCTTGCACCTATCCAAGGTTGATGATTTTCAGGAATCTCTTTCTCTCTCCTTATTCAAAACAATATTATATAGAACACCATATTGTCATGAGAGGACTGAAGAATGGAGGCCAAACTATTGTTCCGATATGGTTGACATTTAGGGTTTGAGTTTATTCAGGAAATAGAATACACAGACACACACACCCCTACATTGACCTTCCAGCCTCTCTTCTGTTGTAACCTTCTTGGTTCCTCCTGGGTTCTGATGGACTGCAGAATGGAACAAACACAAATTTAGCACATTTGAGACATGTCAGATGAGCTTCCCTAAACCCTAGGCAATGGGTTAGGTGTAAGACGATGAGTAATCTCCTCCTGAAACTGTGCTGCCATACCATGTATGTCCCGACATCCTTGCAGAGGGTGAAATCAGAAGCTTGCTACTCTCAAATGTCCCCCTTCCCCCCAAACATCAGCCCCCTTTCCCGTGGAATATTCCCAAGCAGTGATAATCCAGAAGATCTAACTAGTGATCAGGCTCTCGTGCTTTTCTCCTGGGTGGCTTTGTGGTGTCCTCGTGTTTGAATCTGCAGCTCATGTCAATCTTAATATTTGTTTTGAGTCACATATGCCGGCCTCTAATTTGCAATTTACATGGATGATGGGGCCCTATTCAGAGTCCTGCTCCTGCTGCCTTTGTACCTTCACCTCTCTTCACGCAGTCATTAGGCTGAACAGCATATAATTAGGTAACCCATGGAAAGCTTAGATTTCTGAAAGGTGGCAGTTCTTTTCAAAAAGTAAGGGTTTCCATTTTTACCCTCATTCTTTTCTAAACAAAAAGACATTCGCCCCCTGTAGTTTTCATATGAATGTAGTAACTTAGAAACAGTTAGTCTTGTAGGTGGGTAATAATTTTGGTTTGTTTTCACCTGTGAGCCAGTTTTTGTTTACACAGCTTGTGTTTAACTCAGTGTAGGCTGAGATTGATTTGCTATCATTTGCAGATGAGTGTTGCTTTTTGAAGCCAATGAAAATGGCCTGTTTAAAAATCTCTAAAGATTTAAAATTCACCCAACAAAATAACTCAGTTTTTAGCTTATTTTTTGTTTCTTTGTTACTTGTATGCACAAAACCTACCTGAAATTACTTGTTACGATAAAACCTATGAAAATAAAAATACTGAAGAAAACAGGTGTTCTTGCTGAAGTCATACTAGTTGTGTTTAACCTGTGTTCCTTTGTCAGACAGATTCATGATTATAAACGTAGTTTAAAAAATAGTCTCAGTGGTGAGGCAAATGCAAACTCATAAAAGAGTAAATAAAAATGTGTATAAATATTTCATTGAAATAAAATAGTATATTGCATAGGGAGCCAATTGAAGTATTAATGCATTATTATTTCCTACATCTGATATTATTTTTGAAAGAAGTAAGAAAGTGTGAATTTTTTTTAACTCTTCAAGGTTGAAAGGAAAATAACAAGATATATCAGTATCACCTGGGACACTGGTTCATAGCAGTCAACTGGGAATTCATTTAAATCAGATTCTTGGGCCCCATTTACCAAAATTCTGTTATAGAGGATTGTGGATGGACCTCAGGAATATGAATTTTTAATGAGTACTCCCAGATGATACTATTGTTGAAAGTTTGCGTACTGTATTAGAAATACTTGGTTTGCACAAAATGTAATTAATTAATTGTGCTTTTTGCACAGGTGTCCAGTGATACATTTTTGTGTTCTACCTTTCTGTGCTGTGAAAAAATGAAGATGGGTTTTAAAAATGACCATTACTGCATGATTTGCCTTACAACTTTAATAGAATGTATTATAATAGTCTGCTGGTCCCTGGTATATTGCCAAATAGAACCCCAGCTGGCAAATATTGCTTTAGCTCATGACAAATCTCAAGAAATAGGGAAGCAGAAAGACTGGTGGGATGTTGACTATCGGGCATTGTACCAGTTTGATTCTGGTCTCGCCTCCCATTTGTCAGTCGAGTTAATCTAAATGACCAATGTGATCTAAAGTACATCTGGCAAAATTCAGATATTTTTCTCTTTAAATCTCTATTTTCTATGTTTTGGCTTGATTGTGTCTAACATGCATTCAAAGGGAGAATGTTCCTTAATGGAGTTGTTTTTATTTTGGGAGTATCAAGTCACTGCAATGACATTTATTAGATGATAAAATTGTCAGTACCCATGACTAGGCATGAATATTTGAAGACTCCAGTCAGAGGAGGCAGAAGGATGTGGTTGAGCAGGGGAAAGCTGGAGAGCTACAGAGCTTTACCTCCTGTCCTCTCCAAGGAAGTGGTTTTCAATATTTGTGTGCTGGTACTTATCCTACATCCACTGGGATTGAGACTGAATGATGGGCAAGTTGAAATCCCTGATGAGGATATTCTGTATGTGAACATAAACATACACACTTAGATACAAAGACATGCTTATGAGAGCGGTATATGTAAAATCCTTTCAGATTGGTTTTGTGCCTTGTTCTTGGTCTAATATTTCTTAGGTAGTATAAAGTCAGTTCAAGAGTGTGAATGTTAGTGAGACATATGTATAGTATGAAGAGTTAATATATCAATACAAATAAATATTGTGCATAAAAAAGATAAAAAGAAAAGGTGGGTAAGCTCTCTACGCTATTATGGCAAGGATGAATAATGTTATGAACATGCCGAGTAGTAGCTATATGAAATTACTAATTTAATCTTTCTTTTTTTCTAATCAAAACTGTCTCTTTGATCAGATTTCCTATAGAAAAGACGTTCAGGACACGCACACATATAGTGCAGAGCCGGACAGGCCGGATATCAAGATGGCAACCCAGAACTCCAAGATCATAAGCAATGTAATTTCTTTTTCTTAATCTTGATCAGAAATGATTTCTTATTTTTGCAGGAGGCAAAGCACAGCTTTGGTAGTTGGATGGTTAATTTAATTACTGTAATTAATCAATGTGAATGACATCTCAATTTTTTTTCCCTGAATTATCCATTTGATTATGTAAATTATTCAGGTATATGCAGGAACGGCCCAAACTTCACTTGACTATGGCTAGTGTTATCATACTTTTAGAGAAATAAGTACTGTTCGGGTATAAGATCTCATTCAGATGTCTCAGCTTGAAATTCAAGGTTGTCAGTCATCTGGTCCCATATAATCTCTTACCTCACCCTGTTCTAAAGAACTTTGCTTGGCCTCATTCCCATCTTATTGCTGTTAATTATGCAGATTCTCTTCCACCAATACTAACTTTTGTATATTTTCTACATGGCAAAGCTATTTCTTAGATACCCTCCTTAGTTAATACCATTTTACTTAAACATATTGAAAACCCTGGTTAAAAATGGTGATTTAACTAGAACCAAATATTTCAATAACATAGCCTCAACTCACCTTAAAAATCATTAATTACTAAATTCACCTGCATATTAGTCAAACACGGTCAGACCAGTTCCTGAGAATAACCAAAACTGTAAAAGCTATCTATATGCAGAATGCAGGGTCTCAGTTATCCAGAAATTTTCCTTCACCTCTTTTTTCAGTATTTTTACATAAATACAAAGATGATGGTGACTGGACACTTAGACTCAAAATTAATAATTATTTTACTGCAAAAAGTTGAGTTTATTTAAATAATCACACTATAAAGTCAATTCCTGCTTTAGCAGTGAACATTTTAGTGTTGTAAGGGACAATTATACTTTATTTTGGCTAATGTCAATATAATTCTTTTATTGGAAAGTAGAAATACTTAACATTCTCTTGTTTATTCATTTTAGGCAGAATACAAGAAGGGGCAAGGAATAATGAATAAAGAGCCTGCTGTAATTGGAAGACCAGATTTTGAACATGCTGTGGAAGCTTCTAAACTTTCTAGTCAAGTAAGATTCTAGTGATGATTCCACAATGACTTTATTCAGAGATTTTGTTTCTAGCAGCACAGGAAAATATTTCATTTTAGATAATATCTCCAATTGCAAGAATAAGCAGAGATAATGTTTCTGGAACCATTTCAGATAGGATTGCAATAATTATAAATTTCAGCAAAGAAAAAAATTAAGTCTAATTTTAAGCAAAAAACAAAGTTTTCTTTTCTCCATGTTCAATTATGAACCATTTTCAATGAGTTTAGCTATATAGTCACATGTCCTAGGATTTCCAGAAGTCAGCAAGAGTCACACCAAATAATTGTATCTCTGCCTACACACACATACACATTCAAATTTTAACTTAACTAATAAAAATATTCATTTTACCAATTTTTAAGTGCTTTAGTTCAATTACAAAATTAACAAGAGGTGACAAAAATAAAGAAAACTTTGAAACTTTGAAAGCTTATCTAAGAGCATAAAGTGAGATCTGAAAAAGTAAAAAGACATGCCATGTTTTGGCCGGAAGTCTCAATAGATAACAATTTCACTTCTCTCAGAGTTATCATATAAATGTCATGCAATTTCATTTAGAATACAACAGGTTTTTAAAATATGGATAAAATTGTCTTAAAGTTTGTATGGAAAGGAAATGCCTGACAATAGCCTTTAAAAGTATGACAGTGAAGACCCCTGAAGGGGAACTTAAGTTATGAGTTACCGTAAGGTAATAAAAAACTACTAAAATTAAATCAATATGGAAGGATTTAGTGAGAGATAAAATAATCAGTAGGATGGAATAGGGTGTATTGAAATAGATTCCAATATGTATAAAAATTTAATATACTATGAAAGTGTGGATTCAAGTCAATGGGAAAAAGTTGGATTTGTTAATAAATGGTGCTGACATAACTGGCCGTCAATCATGGTAAGAACAAAATTGGATCCAACTCTTAAAACGTATACAGAAATGAATTCCAGGTGGATTAAAGATGTGAATGCAAACAATAAATGATTTAAACATCTTAAAAGAAAGTTCAGGAGACTCTCTGTACCATATAGGGTTAGCAAAGTTGTTCTTGAACAAGACGAGAGATCTAGAAGCTATAAAACAATAGCTGGTTATATTGACCACGTAAAAATTAAAGATTTTTTAATGGAAGAGGTAACATTTGAAGAGTTAATAATAATGTTATCAAACAGTAATTTTTATACATTTATATTGTTTTCAACTTTGAAAATATCCATTTTACAAGTTGTAGATATCTTAATTGAATTACATTTCAGAATGGAGAGAAAATGGTGCTGGAGCAGGACTACCTGGTCGAACTCCTGGTTCTGTTGTTTGCTAGCAGAGTGACCTTGGACAAATTGCTTAATTTCTCTGTCTTCAGTTTTCTCATCTGTGAAATGGGGATGAAAGCAATAGTATCTACTTGTTAGAGTTGTTCTGTGGGTTAAATGAATTACTGTGAGTAAAACACTTATAACGATGCTTGGCCCGTAGAAACTTCACACGGTTTCATAGGAATAAGTATACTGTAGATATTCAGAATGGTTTTCTATTCTACATTTTTAGATGAATTTATGCACAGAATGGAGCAGGAATAGGAGCGATGGCTCTTAGATTCTGGTCTTAAATTCACTCCATTACAATCCTATTTGAGAGTCTTTAAAAGAAAATTTTGTTATTTGAGGGTTTTTTTTTTTCCACATTTCAAATTCAGTCCACAAAACCCTACCATTTGATTGCCCCTTGGGCTTTTAGGCAGATTTGTTTTCAGTCAAATTATTTAGTAACTGAGTGATCAGATGCTGAAGCAGGTTGAACAGCAACTCAGGGTATCACATCACTATAGAAAATGTAATGAGAAGAGAGAACTCACCTCACTTGCCTTCCTTGTAAACCATCAGAACCATGCCCATTAGTCCATGAATGGATCAATTCATTCATGAGGGCACAGTCCTCACAATCTAATCACCTCTTAAAGGCCCCACCTTTCCAATATCATAATTGGATTTCCCACTCTCTTACACTGTTAAAATGGGGGTCAAACTGAGTTTTGGGGGGACATTCGACCCACCTCACACTGTGTCTTAAATACATAGCTAAGGCACTCAGTACCTATTTCTCCGTTTCTCAAATGGTCTTAAAACCTGAAGGGATGTACTTCGCAGTTAGCAAGTGAACCAGTCAGAAGGTAAGAGATGTGACCCATTTAAGCCATTTGGTTATTTTCTTAGTTCGTGTACATGCAAACCTTACAGAAAGAGTGAAGTAAGAAACAGTTGGCTGTCAGTATCTGGACAGTGTGTTTTTTATATAATACAGTTATTTTACTTTGTGGTTAATTAATTAGAGAAACTCTTGAGTTTTTGTTCCTTACGTGTTATTTGAATCAAATCATTCAGAGTACTGAAGATTAGAATAAGATAAATTTCATGACACTTTGCTTATTATGACATTCAATATAAGTATATGAATGACAGATTGATTATTCTTTTTTAGGAATGTACGTTTACTTGGCAGAGCAAAAGCCAGGTTTAATAACAGATAAGAATTTGTCATTTTCATTTCCAAGTAACACCACCCTAGTATTACCTCTGCTCCTAGTGTCATTGTGCTGGGAACCCCAGAGGATGCACAAGCTGTGTGCTGGTTTCTCTGTGCACAAAGATCATATAAACAATTTTGGCCATTTAGCTAATACATAACTAAGACTCTCATGGTGTCTTAGGTTGGAGAATATGAATAACTGAAAGAAAACTTGATGCAAGTCAGCATAGCTAGATCAGCTGATTAGATGTAAATAGCTACCAATTGAGAGCATTCATGGTACATGACCGTCAGTGGGAATGTTTGACTCAGTAAGCGCAGGGGGTTGGTGAATACTGAGTCGCAGGTGTCATTCACATGGAAGTCAGTTGAGTGAATACCCTATAGGCACCAAAAACTTAAGAGAGAGACAAAACCAGTGATTAAAACATGGTGCAAAGTGGCATAGCATGTGGGAGGGTGCAAAGGGATTGAATTTGTGTGTTTAGGGAGGACCAGGTTGCAAAAGCCTTGGCCCTTGTGCCATCTACTCTGCAAAGTAATGAAGGAGGTCTGAATTTATTCCATTTGTGATATTGTTCCTGATTTCAAGACTTAAAATAATAATAAAGAAATAAGAATTTTTCTTGTTTTAGAGAGGACTCACCAATTATTTAGGATAAATGTAAAAGGGAATGTGACTATCAGGAAGTAGTTTTTATCAAATGGAACCACAACAGAAAATATTTCCTGTAAGACGTTTTGAAATATTTCCCAAATGCTGTATCAACATTTCACCGTCTCTCCCATAGGTACTGGACACATGTCCCTGAAGGAGACCATCACCTTATATATGCTTGATTAAAATAGATCTATTTTAATTTAATTATTTTTATTTGCGCCATCCCCAAATTCCTTTTTAAAAAAGGTTTTTTTGCAGGGCAGAGCCTTAAGACATATGAATAAAGGTCCTTTATGAGAATGTTGTCAGAAAAAATGTTATAAGAATTGTAATATTGTAAAAATATTACAAGGGGACAAAACAGCTTACTTTTGCTTTCCAATCAGTGTGACCTTTCCTGGACACAAAAATCAAAGGGGGTGTGAGATGTGAGTAGTTAGGTTTTTTTGTTTTTTGTTAAAAAAACTTATATCTATATTCTGATTAGTTATCATAACATACATTCACATATTTCTCTATTCACGGAGAAAAAAGTTCTACAAAATAAGTTGATAATCCTTTTTTGGTTGTATTAACAATGCTTAAGAAAGAGAAAAATAATTTAGAGTGAATATTGGAGATGATTTTCGTGCTGAATAAATTGTAGCATTAAAGCAGAGAAATTAAAAAAGGACATTAAATAGTCCCAGGACATTTCAGAAAATGTAATTTCTAAAAATGAATTTTCGAATAAATGAAATATGGGAAATGATGAGAAAAACTATGTTACAATTCATGTTCTTTATGTAGAGTAATTCTCTTTGGAAAATTCATATTCAAATTCTGGGGCCTAGGATCCTTTTTCTGAAGGTGGTAAACCTTAAGACATTTGTGCGCTCAGTTTTTAATTGATCATGGATTATAAGAATGCAGAAATGGAAACTGACCTTTGAAAATGTTGATATTTTAGTGCATAATTCTCGTTAATAGGATTTGAGTTCATGCCTAATTGCATTTATGATCAGTGTTCAAGTAGAGCTTTTTTTTTTTTTTAACTTTTATGCCTAATTAAGCTTTATAGAGGGAGGTGGATGCTAGGAATTTAAACTTTGCTACCATTCATTTTTAAGACAGCTTTTATTTGATCTATTTAAAAGTCAAATATGTTTTAAACTTAAAGATAAATGTGCTATTTATTTTATCCTCTTTTTTCTTTCATGACAGATTAAATACAAAGAAAAATTTGATAATGAAATGAAGGATAAGAAACATCAGTACAATCCCCTCGAAAGTGCTTCTTTTAGGCAAAATCAGCTTGCTGCGACACTGGCAAGTAATGTAAGTTGCAATTTATAGAAAATTATTTTCAATATTTTCAATTCTTGTTTTCTTAGAACCAACTGTGCTGTAATTACCGATAGATAGTCAGGATCATGTAATTTCCGAGTAATTTGTACTTGAAAACACAGAAGCACATTTTCTTGAAGCTTGCTTTGAGAAAAAAATGTAATATTATAATTTGCTATTACTGATTACTAATTAGTTAATGGATAGGAATAGCATTGTGAATAAAATTATTATTTCTAATCAAAAGTAGAAATAGATGACAGAGTTTAGGACAATAGTTAACTCATGTAATTATGCCCATGAAATTGTGTTTATTCTAAAGTACTACCTGGTACGTGGCAGCTTATAATGAAATTTTCAGAAATTGTACTTGTAACAGCTTGCGATTTCTTTCTTATTCCTTTTGTGAAGGCTGTGATACTTCTTCATAAGTTTTGTTTTTAAAAATAATCAACATTTATATTACAAAAATGTTTTAAACTCTTATTAGAATTAGGCAGAGTATAAAAACAGAAATATTGAAAAAATTGATCACTTTGCTATAGTTAAAAATGTATAGAGTACCTTTTCAAGTATGAAAATTAAATATTGTCTAACTGTTGCTTTGTTAAATCATTTAAACCCTTCAACTCCCATCATCTCCTTGAGGCTTAGTTTATCTTGCTTTTATTAATGTTTAGAAGGTATTATTATTTGTGTTCAGTAACCAACTTTTGTTTGTTTCAGGCAGTTGAAATGGGTGCTTCTGTCTTTTAGGACCACTGGAAATACCAGAATAATTTCTTTTTCTTGTTTGATTATTTTGTGTATGTGTATAAATGTAAAGGAAATAGAAGTGAAATATACTGAAAGGAACCTAAAGCATAGTGCTGAAAACTCACGGTTTAGAATCAGGTTGCCTGGATTTAAATCCTGTTCCATGACTTAATATTATGCCTTCATCTTTCTGTGCCTCAGTTTCCTCATCTGTAAAGTGGGGAATACTTAAAATACCTAGCTACAGGTGTTGTGGCGATTAAATACTTAATAAGTATATAAAGTATTTAGAAAAGTGTCTGGCACATAGTAAATGCTTGATGTGTTTACTATTGTTATTTTGTTATTATTATTATTATCATTAGTAGTAGTATATTTCCAAAGCAGTAGGTTATATAAAAAAAAAAAAAGGTATATATAGTAATGGGATGAAAAACACCAAAAGCCTAAAATCACCACGAAGTGTAATTGAAATACTATAATAATTTCTAAAGAATAAACTGACTATTCCTTGTTTTTCGAGAGTTTCTGTGAGAATTACTTGATTCTGTTAATATCATCCTCTTTGAATATGTAGACAATAAAAGGGATTATCAAAATATTTTCAAGTCCTTAGAAGTAAAACTGGGTGTTTTTTAAGTCATTCAGTAGTGAATCAGCACCATCTAGTGGCTACTTGTTAATCCACCTGTCAATTTACCACTAAAGAATACTTTATGATGTGTTAAAAACAGAAATGGTAGTGATGCAGAAGCATTAATATTTTCTTCTTCTAGACGGTATTTTGTTCCATGTTATTTTCGTAGGTGAAATACAAGAGAGACATTCAAAATATGCACGATCCAGTTTCAGATCTCCCAAATTTGTTGTTTTTAGACCACGCTTTGAAAGCCAGCAAAATGCTCAGCGGAGTAAGTGGGTTGTTTGACGTCATGTGGCCCAAGAAACCAATGTGCCTGTGGTGCCCATGAGCTCACCTGTGTGCTTCCTTAGACTGCCTGCGTGCCACCCCTCCCTCAGTAACTAACTCATTGCAAAGTTGTGGTCTGTCTGCATAAATCCCACCTGGGCTGTCGCTTTACAAAGGGGGCTCTTGCCAGCTCTTTAGTATCTCTTGAATACATCTACACTTCAAAGTGTCTGTGCAGGCGTTCTTTCTTTCTTCCTCTTTCTTCTGTATGAGATTGAAGCCACTTGAAGTTCAGGCTTTCAAGTTAGGGATCTTTTATTTTACCCAGGCCAGACCAGAGCATCTGGTATTTAGGATGCCTCCAGTAGCATAAAAATGGTCTTTTGTCTAAATTGTATTTTTTTCTGAAAATAAATTCTAAATTGACAGTGTACTTTTAGTCTTTGGATGGTTTCCATGTTCTTTGTCAAAGCAACTAGGAGGAGAGGGTGAGTTCTTCATGTCCTGCAAAAATACCTGTATTATTGCCCAAGTGGTCAGTCCCCCAGAACTCACCTTCTCGGATGCTGTGCCAACCCTTAGTGCATGTGCCTTCACTGGCTCTTGTAACTGATGACCCCGGGTCACATGTAGCTTCGTTTTGTACATCCCAGGAAGCCCCATGGTGATCATGAACTCTAATTTGGCCTTGAATTATTTTCATGCCTTTTTAAATAATCACACACTTACTCATTCACTAACTCAAAATTATCCTAATTTATTGAGTGTCTGCTTTGGGCCAGGCACGGATCAGCTGGAGAAATGCATGTTGGGCGAAACATGAGAGAAAGCGAGGGTGGATGTGCCTACAGTCATAGACTCAGAAATCTGTAGTCAATCGGTTCCCAAGCTATTCAATAATTAATACAGCTTCGGTTTAGCTTTAGAAATGTCTGCACTTGGCTTTGATATATTGAAACTTCTGTTCACTATGATATGTATTATGTGTGTAAAGAGTTCATACAGAGATTATAAACAGATTTTATTTTTACTTGAAACATAATTGATTGTATTTATCTGTGGGGTATAGCACTGAATATCAATACCCATGTGCAATACGTGATGGTCCAATCAGGATAATTACTATATTTATCATTATACAATATCAATTTTTGTGGCCCTTTATCATGTTCTTGCTAATCCCTCTCCCCTTTTCCCACCTCTGGTGGCCTCAGATCAGAGACTTTTTTTTCCTTATTTTTTAAAATTTGTAATTAAAAAAAAAATTCTGGTCCTTGGATGAAAAGTAGTATGTCATTCTTTTCAAGCTGTTGAGCACAAAATATTTCACAAGCCGAGAATTTGCACTTGGGTCCCAGATTTGAATCATGTTGTCTGTACTTTCTGCACACAATCCCCAGTTTCTTGGGTGTCTCTGTTTCAGTTTCGTGTTTTTCTCCATGACTCATAGACATGCTTGTAAAACGATATATTTCTATCCTTTGATCTCACCACTTTCATCACATCCAGTCTCTAGCAACCAGCGATGACCACTGCAGTGACCTTTCCCTTTAACTGTTCTCCATCCATACTGGATTAAATTTACTAGGGACATGGGGATTCATGTGTAAATAAGGCAATAGAAATACCATGATAGTAATTTAAAAATTTGGTAGCTGGAAGAATACATGCCACTCATAGGCAATATTTCTTTTCAAGAATGTTGACCTTTATTTTACAATAATGGTGGAAAAAAAAATCACAGTTTAATATAAATTGTTTCTATCATCTCTTCAACAGAGAAAGCATAGGCAATATTTCTTTTCAAGAATGTTGACCTTTATTTTACAATAATGGTGGAAAAAAAATCACAGTTTAATATAAATTGTTTCTATCATCTCTTCAACAGAGAAAGACTAGCAAAGTCATATGTTATGCTTCTTTTATATATCATTTTTACAGTTTAAATCTTTACTCAGGTGGTGCTTTTGTGTAGATCACAGATTTTTTTTTTCCATAAAAAAATTGTGACTGAATGATCAGTTTATGGGAGAGAAAGTTTAAGACTTAAAAAATGTGTTACTCTGAAGTATTTTCTTACTAAAGTTGTACAGTAATACATCAGCTCAAATTTATTGCAGATTAGAATAGCCTTCTTTATTTAATTGATTTTTAAAATTAATTTTTTAGTTGTACATTTCCATGGGGTACAGTTTGTTGTTTTAGTGTATGCATATATTATATAACGACCCAATCAAAATAGTTAGCGTATCTATCACCTAAGTGTTTATCATTTATTTGTAGAATAGCCTCCTTTTACATTTTAATATAAGGAGTATTAGAATTTTGTTGATTTATGAAAGCAACTTAATTTTATTAAAACACTGAATAAGAGATTGCTTAATAAATAGACATTCTGCCAAAATTAGTTGTCACTTTGTTCTAAACAGCTGTTTTTTAAAGACCTCTAGATGTCTTTGGTATACATCAGAATTCTTCTTAATGTGTAATGTATAGAGTGAAACAAGTGCCTTATGGGTTTGTACAAACATACTCATTAAATTTTTGAGGGAACATGTTCCCCTGGAAAAAGGAGCTTTCATAGTTTTCAGTTTCTTTTATAACTATATAAATTAAAAATATATATTGTGTGTTGCTCTGTATAGCTCCCACTAGGAGGCAACAGAGACTATTATATGGGGAAAAACAAGCATTGCAAATTTCTTTTGCAGATCTTAGTTCAAACAGGTTTTTTGTTGTTTTTGTTTTCATTTTTTTTAAAAATAGGAGTTTCTGAAATACTTTGTATCTAAAATAGATAATTGTGTTGGGAACAATGTCTATTGACCTTTTCTTAGTACATATCCACTATTCTGGACATAGTATCCTAGCTTTAATTGGTTCTGGATTTTACCTCAGTAATGGAATATGCTCTAGCTAGTTAATTCAAGTCATGATTATTTTATAAAAAATATATGATAACTTCTAATCAAAGTATAAGGTCTCTATATTTTCCTACTCCCTTTCAAATGCAGCTTTTGTATCCCTCCACTCTGTGCAAAATTGCCATTTTTATTGAAACCCTCATTGCCTAGTGAGCAGCTAACTTTAGCTTAAGTCTCTGTAGCCGGGAGCCTTGGTGTGTTACCGTTTACTTCTAAGGGTCTTTTCTAAGTAGGGAAAGAGAAATAAGTGTCCGGTCTCCAATGACAGAGATCATGAAGCAATTTCTCTATTATTGCTGCCTGTTGTAGAGGCCTACAGTTGCTAAACTTAGCATCGCTATCCACTCTGGTCTCCTCCAAATTCACTTTTTCACTTTTTCATCTGCATATCTATATAATAACCTTAATCCAATTTCTTCACCTTAAAAATTCAACAGACTGTACCCGGATTCCTCAATTTCTCTTCCATGCACCTCCTACCCTTTCCTTTTCGGAAAATTAGTTGAAACAGTTCTAACACTCTTATTTTGCTTGTGACCCCCAGTCTTCTTCATGGCTGAGCCTTTGTATACGTCTTTTTTCTTCCTTGCCTCTAGCTTTCCTTTTCTTTGTTCTTTCTTCTTTTCTTTCCTTCTCTTCTTGTGGGCACTATTAAACACATCCCTGTCCTGTGGTAAGGACAAGGCAAATTGTCTTGATTTTGTCCACCTTCCCTATTCACAGTAGTTCCATTGCTAGCTTTTCCATAGTCACTCCTTGGGGGTGTAAAATATTCTTCACACTGTGTTCCCAGCTAATTGTCCCCTGAGTGTTTCGTATGCTGTGCACGTTGACCACCTGGAGCTGGTCTATCTCACTTTGTTCATTTATCTCAGCCTCAGAAACCCACTCCACGCCAGCTGACTGCAGATGGGGACTTGATAACAGCTTGGCAGCTCTTGGTGGCTTGTAGTTTTCACTGGCATTCCTAAGTATTAATTGCTCTAATCAGTCTCTTTTATTCTAAGTTTATTTTCATGTTCTGTATTTTAGCGAGAATATAGAAAGCTTTTTGAGGAAAACAAAGGAATGTACCATTTTGACGCGGATGCTGCAGAACACCTGCACCATAAAGGCAATGCTGTCCTCCAGAGTCAGGTACGCGCTGGTTGGGCACCTCCTCCAGGACCCCCAAACCATCCTGACATCCACTGCTCACTGCCCTGTACCTCGACTGAGAATGTGCAGTTGCTGAAAGGAACAGATCCTAACATTGTTTTGTAAAATCTCAAACACCATTTTCTCTCTCTATATATATATTGGGTTGGGGAAGCTTAACCCATGTTTCAATATGAAGGCATTTCATAAAATAAGTTATTTCACCAAATTAAAAACTTACAGCTTAGGAATTAATTAAATATGGTCAACATCGTGATTTAAATTTTTATAGTATACGGTTTCGTCATTCTGAGCTGCAAAATTAATTTTCCAGGTGCAAGGTTTATTATAATTTCTCAGTTTAATTATAAGTGTTATTAAAAAGGGAAAACAATCTTACCAGTGTATTTTATATTAATATTTGTTCCAACTGTGAAATTCTATGTATCCCTAAAAAAACTTAAAAAAAAATATTTTCTTCCTAGCTCTTTAAAGTTGATGTCTATTATTTTTATTCTGAGTTGAAGTAGTTGCAAAAGATGTCATTTCCAGCATCTGTTAAGATAAAAGTTTATGTCACTCTTTTAAATGTATTCTGTGGAACATAAATTCCATACTGATTTTATGCCGAACTTCATTTCTTTCAAAAATATACAAACCAGCTCCTCTTCGTTTGGAAATGTGCATTTTTTTCTTTTTAAATCCTTATTTTTGTTTCATTTTTCCCATAAAATTTTATCTTAATGTACTATGTAATTATGCTTCTGACACTTTTATTATTACTCTAGCATACTTTTCTGCAACAAAAATATGTCTACACATAGGTATTTTAAATTTTGTCTTATTTCCTGTCACTACAAAGTTCTAAGTATTGAAAAATTTCTTTTGGGTTATCATTAACATCATCATTATTATACATCTTAAGAAATAATTTCATAAATCACTATTAAACATAATGATTTTAAGAAAATGCATTTCTGAATGAAGTGAATCATGATCAAAACTTTTCTATGAATTTAATTTAAAAAGATATATTGCTAAAAATCCAACCACTCTGATGCCATCCATATAATTTTTGTTTTTTTTAAGTAGGATGTAGAAACTATTGATGATTTAATAAACTGAAATAAGATGAGGATTGACTGTAATTGAATTAAATAACTCATAATATAATATTATTAAATAATGCATAGTGAAACTGAAAGAAGTCACATGGAAGGTCTGTATGTGTGTTTTACTCAGTGTCTATGGGAAAATCCAGCAGTCCTAGAGAACATTGTTCTCCCTTTGACAGAAAGATGGAGAATCATGCTCATGTTTTTTTCTTGATCATGATGTACTAATAGACATTGAAGCTATCACAGGGATTTTTCTCTCCTTCCCTCCTTACATGTTCATACACATATATGTGTATATATCATGTGTGTATACATAAATAACCCCGTATAAATGATATATACTGTATATTCCAGCTATTTGACAAAATATACAAATACTAGAACTACATTATTTAGTTGTTCTAGATTATTTTTATCCCTTAAAAATTTTTATATATTACCTATTTACTATCTTTGTATGTCATTAATCACAGGGAACCCAGTGTCCAACCTAAATGGCCAGGTTAATATGATTTTAGAAAACAGAACGATTAATTCGGGACATATTTATTTTACTTTGCTCTATTTATGTAAGGGCTTTTCATTTCTATGTGTTTTTTACACTTTTTTTCAATGAAGGTTAAATACAAAGAAGAATATGAGAAAAATAAGGGAAAGTCAATGCTTGAATTTGTTGAGACACCATCATATCAAGCTTCCAAAGAGGCTCAAAAGATGCAAAGTGAGGTGGGTCACTTGGCTTGTTATCAGTTGTTTTATGTACATATAGTTGATATTGTATCATTTGAAAGGAACCAGTAAAGTGACTCAGAATGTTTGGTGGGTCTAGCACTGCTCTGGGCAGATTCACGGACCTGCATTTAGACCCAGCCAACCACTGCCAGGATCTCACCCAGATCATTGAGTTTGTCTGGTCCTTAGTTTTTCTCATTTGGCAGATATGTATATCAAGCCTGATGAGCTCTTAATGCCCCCTCAGCCCTAATATTCCATGATTATGTAATTGATGCTTTCAGATTGTGTCAATGTAAAACTATGATGAGTACGTATAAAGTCAAAAGGAAAAGAAGAGCTGCTTGCTTTGTTTATATATATTTTTGCAATGACAACAGAACTAATGTTTATTAAATGCTCTGTGCTAGGTCATAAGCTAAGTGCCTTATATATATCAGCTCATTTAATTCTCGAAGTAATGATGCTAGGAAGATATTATCCCTAGATTTATAACATATTCACTGAAACTAATTGTCTTAAATAAAATTATGTATCTAGTAAATGCCAACATGTTAGGAGTGGGTCAAAGTTATGAATGACTCCCTTTTCTCTGTCAGCTTATTTAATTGATTCTTTTTTTTTTCTTTCAATTTTAAGTAAGACTTTTTTCTACATATCCATTATTATCCTAAGATAATGCTAAGTCACATCATATATTCCCCACACTGGTTTTTCTCTGTCCCAGTGAGACTTCTTCTGTTTTTTTCACCCTTTTTTGGGGACCAGACTTAGACAAGGTTTTGTCTGTAGCCAATATCTAAATTCTCTAGGTATAATGGAGTGATTACTTCCAAGGGGCATAAATAGTGGGCTGTAGTATGAGTCAATTACAACCCTGTGCTTCATGCTAGGCATACTCAATGGACAGGATCTTTTCTGTTGCCCATCAGAAACATCAAAACAAGGAGAAATGGTAACTTATAGACAAAAAAAAAAAAAAAAAAAAAAAAAAAA